ATCTTTACCGAGCCCCATAACAGTTTGCTTTTTTTTGCAGAGAGATGGTTCAAATTCCACTTTCTAGACCAAGCCTCGACACAATCTATAGCGCTTGAACTTGTTACAGTCGTTTATGGTGAAATTTTTAAATCTCAGCATAAAGACTGGCAGTAGGCGCCAGCTGGAATAGAGTCAACCAGTCATTTACATATATTAGGAACATTAGCGGCCCAATACACGTACCTTGAGGTACGCCACTAGGCGTAGGATAGGAATAAGAATGGGAGTCGTTGACGAGCACTACTTGGGTCCTGTCACTGAGAAAAGAACGCAAGAACTGGTGCAGACGGCCCCTGATGCCGTAAACCTCTAATTTCCTAAGAAGCAGTGGTATTGAGATGGAGTCAAAAGCCTTGGCATAGTCTATATAGCAGACTGAAACGAAATGCCCTTTGTCAATCTCTCTGTGCCATAGAGGTAGTGTGGACAGTAAGGCCGACAATGTAGACCTACGCCTCAGAAAACCATGCTGATTTTTATGTAGCAAATTTCTTTCCATCAAGAAACAGGTAATTTTTTGGCAAACCAAGCGTTCCATAACTTTACTCACGGAGCTGGTTAAACATATGGGCCTGTAATTAGAGACATCGCTTCTGCAACCTTTCTTGTAAATCGGCTTGACAAAGCCTATCCTCCACAATTTAGGGACATCACCATGAAGTAAAATTCTGTTGAATAATACAGTGAGAGCTGATGTGACCCCGAGAGCAGCATTCTTCAGAAAAATATATGGAATCTTATCCGGGGAGGTAGACAGCCTGTTCGGAAGTCTGCGCAGGATGGAGTAAATAGAGTTGTTTGAAATGTCAACCCAATCCAAGGAATCACCCGTTCTTGTTGGTAAGCAAGCGTTTGAATCACATGACCTTCTGTACACTGTTTTGAAGAAGTTAGCAAATAAGTTAGCCTTGCCTAGATCGTCCCTAATTATGACACCGTCTGAGGAAGTCAAGTTAGGGATACTGTATGACAGCTTCAGCTTCTTCCTACAATAACTAAAAAAGCGTTTTTGATTTCTACATAGTGCTACTTTCTTTTCTTCCGTGAGCTGATGCCGAAGAAGTGCGCGTCTCAACCTCCTCTGATAGGTGTAGTACTTAGAATCCAGCATCGTGGAGGTGGAGTGCATACGCTTGATTCTGTTCCTAAGGAGATAAATTCGTCGTGGGTATACTTCAGTTTTTTTCTCTATATTTCTTAAGCGGCACGTAGTTATCAATTAGTTGGTAACATACATCGAGATATGCGGAATAAAAAGAGTCGACGCTAGAGCAGGCATTACTTAATGAGACCCACTTGATTCTGGCCAGAGCGGAAATAGGATACATAATCTCCTTTTGAGAAACACCTGATGATTTTGGTGGTCTAGTAAGATTCGGAGATGGGCCCGAGATGTTAAAGCCGACGCATTTGTGGTCTGAAGTACTAAATGGGGGGAGCACTTGAAGATCCTCCACCATACTGGACTCAGAAGTCAGAACTATATCGAGGATGTTTAGACCGTGGGTTGGGGCCTGTACAACTTGTTCTAGGTTGAACTCTTTGGTGAAGGAAACGAATGAATGCGATATAGGAGAGGAAACATTACCCCTAATAGTAAGGGTAACCCAGTCAATCAAAGGGAAATTAAAATCGCCCAAAAGAACAATGTGGCCATCCCATTCGCTAAAAATTACACGGAGGAAATCTGTGAATTCGGAGCGGAGTTTGATGGGCTACGGTAAGCGAGGATCCAGAGGATTTTGTGACGTTGAGTACAGATTTCAACGCCCACTGCTTGGATCAGCTCGTGGAAGTCTTTCTTGAAACGAAGATTATGCGAAATGTTCTTATGGATAAGGGTTACAACCCCACCACCTATTCTGCTGCCCTCACGGTCACAACGGTGTACAACATAAGTTGAATTGAGACTGAGGATGACATCATGTATGGAGTTGGGCTTGCACCAACTTTCTGTTATAAATACCGCGTTAGGTTTATGCCGGAGGAGGAAATTAAGCCCAGGTATTTTGTTTACTACCGAACGGGCATTGAGTAGGAGGAATTGGTGAGTGGTCTGTGAATTAGTCTGCAAATTTGAAAGGTAAGCCATGCCGGTGTTCGACACATTTTTGCTCCGATTGATTGACCTTGTTTCCTAGCGAGTGGCCACAGGGGGCTCGGACTCAGTCGAAATAGAATCGATATGAGCATGGCGGGCAGGTGAAGTACCCAACATGGTCAAATCGGCTCGATCGATCGGTTGAGAGGAGTGACTGACAAGGCTATTAACAGGAAGGTCGCGGGGGTCCTTAGTTTGTGTATGACCAGATCACGGACAATGTAGGAAAGCTTACCTTCTTCACGGTTCATGAGTCCCGCTTTCTTGCGAAGAGAACGATCGTAGGCTAGCTCCTCTTTTGTATAGTCTCTTCTGGCATAGGAATGAACAAACTCCTTTGTCATCGAAAGCCTCCCGGATCGCATGTGATCTAGTAATCTGTCACAAAGTTGCTGGCTACCTAGACTAATTTTGATTATGCGAGGCCTAGCATTTTTTGAGGTTGGTTTCGTTTTAGGATATCTGTGACTGACAATTTTACCATCATTGAACTCATTAAGGAGCTCTTGATCCCCTGACGAAACAATTACCTCTATAATGGCTTCCTTGTCGAATGCATTAGTGGCGACCTCCGTGGCCTGCTCACCAATGCCCACCCAGGTGATCCGGCATGCTTTTTCATTGACAATCTTGGAGTCCGCCTTGAACTTAACCAGGGCACTATAAAGAGCAGGCCTGGAATGGTCGCCTTGGTCGGTCTTTGCTGAAACTTTTTCCTCAAGGGCGTCCAGTTTCTTAAGTATTAAATTCTGAGATTCCTGCATTTTTACAAAAACTTCAAACATGCGGTCAAACCTCTCGAAATATTGGTCCCATCTTTCCAATATGGGTTGGAGCCAAGACGGCGCTGTATCAGTCGGGTTCTTCGGAGGCATGAGTTCTGGAGCAGAAGAGACAACCGCACGTGATGAGGCCACCAGGCCAATTTATCATGAGAAGTGTCGTAGCGGAACATATAAGACTGCCAGTTAATGAAGCGATAGACTGAGGAGTAAATCCAATAGATGCAGCCTTTCTGGGGTTGCGCTCCCAACATCTAGTCGATATTTGAACACGTTTGCTAGAGCTCTCTTAAACGCAGAAGCATTCCTGAATTTGAAGAAATCTTCGCTAAATTCATTCCAAGGAAGAACAACTCGACAAGAAAACGAACCTTTATATGACGCTGTAATAGAGCTGTCGAGGCAGAGTCTATAAGGATGGCTTCTAGTGATACCATTGAATGGCGAGACAGGAAATATGTCAGAGAGTTTCAAATCAACTTCGCCAGATATTATTTTATACATAGAGACGAAGTCAGCAATTTTTCTTCGATCCTCTAATGTAAGAGCATTAAGGTGAGCGAGTCGATTCTCGTATGACATTCTGTATACTCCCTTTTGGCGGAAAATTCTATACGTGAACCGCTTTTGCACTTGCTCAACTTGGTCAATGAGGCAGGCTTTATAAGGGGACCACGTAGGGGAGCAGTATTCAAGAAGAGGCCTTACGTAGATAGCGAACAGCCTAAACAGAAGAACAGGGTCGCGCGTTTGGAAGGCACGCAGGATGAAGTTAGATCTGGAAGACGCCTTAGCCACAATGTCAGATATAAAGCACTCGAAATCGAGGCTGTCACTAAATGTGACACCGAGATCACGAATGCAGTGTGAGTGTTTGAGGACGAATCCACCAAGTTCAAATTTGACATCGCGATGACTTTTCCCAAGGCACATAGCAGTAGTTTTTTCCCTCGATATATCGAGTCTCCATCTTTGCACCCAACTACCCAGGGCATTTAGACCGTCCTGAAGAAGGTTGGCATTATTGACAGTGAATAGCTTGGAGTCGTCAGCATACATAGTTATAGAGACATCCGGAGGGAGGACAGAAGGCAAGTCGTTGACGTATAACAGGAACATGAGAGGACCGATACAACTACCCTGTGGCACACGCTGGGGGTAGGATAGAGGTCAGACCGGGCATGATTAATAGCAACTGACTGCATTCTTCTTCAAGAAGGAGCGGTAAAGCGCAATACCTATGCCAAAGCTTTCGGATTTACTGAGCAGTAATGAAATAGGAATAGAATCGAGGGCTTTTTAAAATCAATAGAACATACTAATACATAACTTCCTTTATCCAGCTCTTTATGCCACCGTGGGAGAGTGGAGAGTAAGGCAGTAGTTGTGGAGCGTTTACTGAGGAATCCGTGCTGTGCACTGTTCAGTAGTTTTTTGTCTTCTAAGTGATCTATTATACGTGAACAAATGATTCTTTCCATTACCTTGCTGGTGCAGCAGGTAAGACAAATGGGCCGGTAGTTCTCTACTAAATTGCGTGGACCTTTTTTATGGACTGGTTTGACGAGCCCAATTCTCCAGATATCAGGGCAGTCACCAAATAACAAGAACTTGTTGTAAAGTAATGTGAGTGGTTTCACAAGACCGAGGGCAGCTTTTTCAAGAAAGACATAAGGGATTTCGTCGGGAGAGGTAGAGCTTCTGTTATGAAGACTCAACAACATTTTGTAAACTAACTCAGATGAGACGTCAACCCAATCTAAGGTGCTGGCTTGGTATTGTAGACGCTTCGTAGTAACTGCATGGTTCTTTGTAAATAGAACGGAAAAACTCAGCAAAGGCTTCGGCTTTGTCGTAATCATTACTAGCTACTGCACTGCCCTTAAGAGACAGTTCTGGGATCTCACTGGCCAAGCTGAGCTTATTATTGCAATAGCTAAAGAAACGCCGCAGATTTTTATTTGACAGCTTTTCTTCCTCGATAATAGCTAAGTGAGTGACTGCACTTTTGAGTTTTTGGGCATATTTTACATATTTGAGGTAACCGTAACGACTTAGATTCGAATGAATGTGGCTCACTTCGCTCTCAAACGGCGAATCTTCCTTGGAATATGTATGCGTTCTGCTTTTGGCTTAATAGGAGGTACGTATCGAGAGACTAGAGCGTGACAGATTGCAATGAACCTTGAATAGGATTTGTTAACAGTACCAGCGGCAAGGAGCGCCAACCAGTGGATATCGGTAAGCTCACGAACTATGCTCACGAAGTCACCCTTCGCAAAGCAGGGACGGGGAGGGCTTGAGTGTGATCGACAGAGTGGAAGGTCTGATAGCAGAATGCTTACGCTGCAATGATCTGAAGTGCTGAAGGGTGATAACTTTTCAACCCTTCTGATCAGATTGGAGTCAGAGGTAAGAACTATATCTAGTATATTGAGACCAAGTGTGGGCTCCAGGAAAACCTGTCAAGGTTGAAGGAAGCACAAAAGTGTATAAAGCTGGACGAAGAAGGGTTGCTTAGATTACCACGATGAGTGAGGGATGACCACTCAATGAGTGGGAAGTAAAAATCACCCATAATGACGACTTTACTGGAGCTCTGGAGGATAATGTCAGAAAAGAACTCGATAAGCTCTTGAAAGGCATCGGACTTACATGATGGGCTTCTGTAAACCGTGGCTATCACTAAGGAGTGCGGACCAATATCGGTCTCAATTACAACAACTTGACAATATTCAGAAAAGTTTTTAGATGCGACACAGTTATGGGGGATACCTTTGCGAATTGCAACTAATACACCTCCGCCAGGCCTGCTTCCCTGTCGATCACAACTAAAAACGGTGTACTGCCTTTTGTAGCTGAGCGTGGCATCATGAATTTGATTGGGTTTGCAAGTTTCAGTTACGAAAAGAGCATACGGCCTTTGTTTCATAAGTAAGTCAAATTCAGGAATTTTCTTAATTAAGGAACGAGCATTAAAAAGTAAGAGTCGGTTGCGCAAGGAGAAACTGGAGGGAAACAAAGTAGAACGTACCACAGGCGGAGGCTGTTCAGGGCCCCCTCTTATATCCTAGCAAGGCGGTGGCTCACTGGGTCCAATGGCGGACTCTGTATTAGGTCCAGTGATCGATGCTCGCGGTGCCGAAGGAGCATCGAGTGGGGGCGCTGTTATGCGATTGATAGACTGTACAGGTATGGTGCCAGGAGAACAATTAGAATGAGTTGCGCTAGATCCGGTCGACGGATCAGTACTGGCAAGATCACGCGGAACTTTGAGTTTATGAATTTCTAAGTCGCGTTTGACATAGACAAGCTTACCCTCGTTTGCGTTAAGCAGCCCGGCTTTTTTTCTGAGCTGCCTATCAAGGACAAGCTCTTCTTTGGTGTAGTCGCGCCTTACCTATGAATGAATGAACTGCTTAGTTAATGTGAGCCGTCCCTCCCTCACAAAGGTTAAGAGCCTATCGCGGAGATCTTGGGAAGGCAATGTTATCTTGATTATCCTGGGCCAGTTCTTAGTTTCTTTACGAAAACGTGGGTGACGTACCATTTTGATGTTACCAGCTTTCCATTGAGCACGTAACTCATCATCGCACGAGGCTTCAATGAATTCATTAAGGGCATCCTTATCGAAGGCTGAAGTAGTCATCTCATCACACTGTTCATGAATGCCTACCCATGTTATATTGCACTGTTTGTAATCGATATTTTTTGAATCTGAATGGAATTTAACTAAGGTAGAGTATAACTCAGTTCTCGGGAATGACGTACTAATTTGCTCACCGGTCCGAGCCCCCGATAGCGCTGACTTTATCCTCGATAGTAATAATTTGCTCACCGATCTGTGCCTCGATAGCGCTGACTTTATATCAAAACGTCCTATAAGACTCTTGCAAAGAGAGAAGCAGATTAAACTAATCACGTCAATACCTAAGAAGTATGTTCCCGCGTTCAGCAGCGGTTCGATCCAAGTGGAAGCTTCTGATTCCTTGCCGCAGTTGCATTTTTTGGTGGCATTAGACCAAGTGGGAGTCGGCCGCACAGGAAGACAGATCAATGTCCAATGTTCATAAAGAAGTACGTTGTGGTGTGTCTAAACTCCCATACCTCGAGAACGTTACGTTACTAATCTAAAGCCCGCTTCCTATCAGCACACTCGTGCGTCCAGACCACATTTCCCTATTATACATTCTGCAATAAGATTGTTTATGATCTTGTATATAACCCTGACTACTCGAGTGTATATAATCCACCTCGACTAAGTGAGGTTCAGTTATATTCCTGCAATAAATCTTCCTCTCAAAACTGGTCGTAAAACTGGCGATCAGGCCACGGATTCAGGAGAACTTGCGAAGTTCTTTCGCTGATGCAGAGGCAGATGGAGCAGCAGGAAAAGGCGCTGAGCTCATGCAGCAGCAGCAAAGGGAGACGCCGATTCTCTTTCCTCCACGCTTAGAGAAGATGGAAGTGAGAATGAATGGAGCCAATCCAGCAGCTGCCAAGCACAGCATTTTCGAATCCTTGTGCCGCGCGTATTGACAGGTTCACTTTCGACGCAGAAAACGGAAGAACATTCGGGTATAGTGTGCAAACATCAAACGATCTTCGACAACGACTGTAACGAGCGTGAGCGAACAGGAGAAGACTCGCCTACTGGTCAGCCGCCTGGATGAAGACAGTCACCCAGCTCTTCTGCGGTTCGATTGCACTGAAGTTCGCCGTCATACCTCTCATGGGATGAAGCTATCACCACCATGGATCGTCTTTTTTTTCTGGTAACCATTATTTCGTCGACGATTTGAATGTCTTAAGATACAGTATTCCACCACGTTTCAATAGCTATGAGACACTTGTTCGAACACGATGTTCTGATATAAATTCAACCACCATCAGTTTTCGAAGGTCTGCAGTGCCTGATCTACGTCGCAGGATTCCAGGAGCCCGAATTTGCGGGCTACAGAACACGACTACTAAGAAAGCTAGATCAAGGTGTAGGAATTACGATCAAAGACCCTCACTGCTGAGTGTCAATTATAAAACTTACAAGGAAGACGCCAGAATGCTGGAAAACGACATTAATGCAACGCTACGATCTCCACATGTCAAATAAGATAAGAAAAGCAGAGTTTTCAGACAATAATCAGGAAAAGATGTTCATAAAGAAAACCATGTGCTTTACGAACAGTAAACGGATCTGGAATACAGGAATCAAACATCACCGTCACGGCCCGACAACAGACTTACGGCTATCAAGAATTACCAGGATCAAAAGCAATTCGAGCCGCTTTAAGCTAAAAAAGTACACCACACATGGAAGTGTGAAGTAAATGGACATTCCCTGGATCTTTTACTCGATACTGGCGCCATGATCATCACTGATCTCTTAATCGGAGCTGAAGATACCTGGGGAGGCGTCGACTACAGAATTAACATTGGTCATAACGCCGCAATGAACAGGATCTCAACAAAATGGATCTCTAAATGTCGATTTTGCTGGCTGAGTAAGCTCTGACGGAAAACAACCATCTGAGGACAGATGCTGTTTACGTTACCGGACACCGCTCGAACATTTGCGCTGGGAATGGATCAGAAGATTCCAGAGCTGCGTGAATCCCACTGCAAAGCAATATTTCAGTTGGGTGTCCATCGTTGCGGGATCTGCGGCTGCTACTGAGTAAGAAATCGTCGCCAAGCTGAAAGTGAACCTATGCGACGATATTTATAGACATGCACTTGGACGATGTCCACAGACGAAGCAACCCCACAACTGAACCCGATGCCACCCCATTTAAGAAGAAGCCCCGTGCCATCGCATTACTGTCCCGCACTAACGGAGAGCATTGAGCCTACATTGCAGAAACTTATCCCCCAGTGGATATACTCTGCTTGGGCTGCGCCGATCGTCGTCATCAAGCAAGCAAAACGGAACGCTACGACTTGTTGTGCTGACTTTCTCGCACGGCCTGAACGAAGCCCTCATGGCTGCACAATCCAAACCAATCCGACGGACGTTTTTCACGAGAAGCTCACATGGTGGCAAACATTCACGCAGAGTCCTTCGCAATTGCGACCTTACGTTCAAGTGAGTAGGACACGATGGCGAAGGGCTGTTAACCTTAATACACAACAGAGACTATTACGCACATCGCCCTCCCGTTTGGCGTCGAATCTCGCGCCCGGGCATCTTTCCAGAAATCATTGATTCCATGATTTTGCGGAGCTCAAAGGCTGGCTGCGCATACCTCGACGATGTTATGTCGACAGGCCGCAATAATCGAGCGAGCAGCCTGTAGACCAATCGGAAGTTTTGCTTTCAAAAAATATCGATTTGGCTCCGCGTGTCGGCGATCGAAAATGCAATTGTCTGTATGCTTACAACATACCTGAAATTAATCGATGACCTACGGAGTCGACCCGATCCCGCAAAATCGAAGTAATTCGCAAGATGCCACACCACCACGACATCAAGCCAGGTACGATCGTCCTGGGATCCTAAGTTACTACGGACCTTCATCCCGAAGATGCACGCCTAGCTGCACCGTTGGACGATCTGCTGAAGAGAACATTTCCGTTTAATTGGTTCTGCGGAGTGTCAATGACGCGCAACGCCCAAGGATGTCTACCCTTGAATCTCGGGCTGCTCACCCACTACGATCCCACAAGAAGATCGGTCATCGGGTCCGACACATCGGAGTATGGGATAGGAAAGGCAGTTGATTGTCACCGCTTTCTCGGACTGAACGGGCAAAAAGCAATTCATCTAAGCCTGCCGTTTCACTGACGCTGCCGAGAAGAACTTACGGTCAAGACGGGAAGCAGAGCTCTCGCACATAACGTTCGCCTTACAGGAAAATTCCACCGTTAATAGACGGACGTCATTCAAGCTGTTAAACATGATCACAACCACTTCTCGCAATTTCGAAAGCAAGAAAGCGAGTACCTTATTTCACGCTAAAGACTATCCAGCGGCTGGCTCTCATAGTGAAGACTACGATTTCACATCAATCACCGAGAGTAACTCTAGCTTGGACAACAGACGCCAATGATCTTTCGCTCGTTCGCGACCAACACAAAAATTGAGAAGATATAGCTATCGACCCTACAATCTGAAAAGACTCAGACACGGTTATTCGTCAATGCCAATATCGATAATTACAGTCGAGCGACAAAATACGGTAAAGAAAACTCAAGAACCATTCTGCAGAGCGTTCTAATGACAATTCGTTCGGAGCGAGAAATTGGCCACAGGAAATCAGAGTCAACAATCGATTCAATTGTCTCAAAGAACGCTCAAACACAGAATGGATGACCTACCTTCATCGGCGAACGAAATCGATTTATGATTCCCAGATGTACTGAGACGCCGTGCTTTCGCGAACTTCATGAGGGACGTCCAGGGACGAGTCTGTATTGAAGATTGCTCACCTATTGAACTACGCTTTAACTGGGACGCACATCAACACGACAATCGAGAGCAATTCGTTCAAAACTATCGTCGACTGCCAGGATACGGCGATAGAATCCACGTCAAAACGACACTAGCTCATGGCCATGAAAATAGGCCATGGGATCGCGATACATGGCCATTACGGTGGACGACGATCGATGGAAAAAATGTACACTCAGTAGGTCGCGATGCATTACTCAAAGTGCCTGAAATCTGTCGAAATGATCATCTACAAACGACTGCAGATACGATTAGAGAGTAGCCTCGCGTCTTTTCGCCCCAGTTCGGCAACCCACAAAACGTTGATGAGCATAACGGACCCCAATTTCATATCCAAGGATTTCGAAGACTTTTGCACTTACAAAATGGCGTAAGACACATGAAATCTCACGCCAATTCCATCCACACAGTCTAAGGGACAAGCGGAGCGTTTTGTCGACAACCTTCAAGGAACTTCGAGAAAATGAAGGAAGAATTTCGCCAAGCCGAAAATACAAAATTCCTGCAAACCTCATCGGCGACTCCCTGCTATCCACACCCTAATGGAAATAATCACCGGCCGAAGTTTGTCCCTCGAAGAGAGCTACGAACCAGATTGAGCCTCCTGAAGCCAAACGTCATGACAAACGAGAGCATTCGCAAACACACAGTGGAGGAACAATATAATCGTCATCACGGAGCCCGACAGAAGGAGTTCAACGCTGGCGACCTGGTATGAACTACTGACTACCGTTCAAGAAAGCCACAGCAAGCACAAGGACGGGTACTGAAGCGGTACGGAAACAGGCTTTACGATGTACTGATCGACGGACAAATTTGGAAACGTCACGCGAATCAGCTACGTTCGAACGCTGGCAAGGACTTACGTTATCCGGATTCAACGCCAGAACTTGCAGATCTTCCGCTCCTGCCCACCTCAAAACCAAGTCGCCTGTCAGAAGAATCAAGAACAACACAGCTAAGGACTGGAACCAATTCACAGCCAACGTCAGTGAACACTCCCGAAACGACGACATTGTCTACAGAAGAAGCCACAGGACAACGTCGGACAAGGCCACGACGCACCGGAGCGGCTGATGGTCGACCCTAAGAAGAAGACGTACACTTAGAGTGTCCATCTTAGGGGGGAGGTGTTGTGGAAATGAAGATTGTTTATGATCTTGTATTATCACTGACCTCGAGGTGTATATAAACACCTCGACTAAGTGAGGTTCAGTTTATTTCCTGCAATAAATCTGCAAGAACTGGTCGAAACACATTCCTTCCTCTTCTAAGATCAATATCCATCCTCTTGCCTGCGGTGGTACCAGTACGAAGAACAAACTGAAAATCTGACAAAAAGAGCCGAAACTGCGGTGTCTCCAAGCTCTCCAGCTAATTGAAAGCGGGAATTTTTTTCGAAGAGGCGAGCATCTTGGTGTTCCGATCCTGTTTTGCAACTAGACTTTACGCACATTTTATGATTTTCCAGCTAAAGTTCCCAAAATAAAGTACAATCAAAGAAAACATTGGGCATAAGCTATATTAGTGTTTCTACTCGGACATGTGGCAAAATGTAAAGGATAATATGGGGAAAAATCAAAATTAGTAACAGAGGCTGATTCGTGGCAAAATGATGTATTCAAAACTAACACTTACAAAACCAATAAGAAACTAAGTCACGGAGAAACAACATTCTAGTGTATTCCGTACTGTATGGTTTGTTAAGTTACTCGTGTAGAGGTTCGACGCCACCTACTTGCATAGCACGCACAGTGTTCCCATGTCTCCATCTATACATAGTAATGATCCGGCCCATTTTACACGAATCGCAGGCCCCTGGTCATGACCCAAAATGAAGAGACACTAGTTAACCTACAAACCGATTTATCCTTATTACATTAATAGCACTGGAACGAGATCCGTAGAATAATAATACAATATTCAGCGAAACGACAATACCCAGTGATGAGTAGGGGAAATGTCCCGGATTAGCAACGGGGATTAGATCGGTCGATCGACGAGGATCGACGGGGGCATGACGTGTCCCAGGTCGGGGTGTAGGTGGAATGGGAAGTCGGAGTCGTTGATCAGGCAAGTCCTATTGTCCTCGGACATCGAGATCGAACTAAGAGCCTTAAACCGTCCCGACCACGCCTTTTATTCGGGTCCTACCGCTATCTCCGTTCCATCGCCTGAAAAAAAGCGAAGCCGAGGGAGAAGCCCGAACAAAAACAATCTTGAGTGCTGATAAGACACACCGTTTTCATGTGTCAGGCTTTGGCACGCTCCATCGCTCCCTGTCGATCTGAAACATTTGAAATTAGGAAATTGAGTATACAGACTAATGATTTCTTTATTTTCCCTGCCCATCCTTTACATCTCCCCTTTTACAAAAGTCCGACCTCGGACTTCATTTCTTTTGGAAGGAAGCTGTGCGCTTGCGGAAAGCTCCCAGGTACGTGAGTAAGTGGTGTTCCCGGCACCAGCGATTTATGTCCCTCCACAGCAAACGGACCTCGAGATGTACAACCGAACCCAAGACGAACATACCGTCGCGAGCCCTGGAGAGAGCGACGTTAAGGCGCTGGGGATCCGCAAAGAAGGAGAGATTGCGCTTAGGGTTGATGTGGGTGCGCGTTGCGCACACGATGACGACAGATTTTTCTGAACCTTTCGCGCTGTCCACGGTTTTGACCGCGACCTTGGACCCTTCTAGTGCGGATTCAACTAGGTAAAGTTGATCGCGGTAGAGGCAGATGACCATGATGTCGTCCGCGGAGATGGAGGAGGCTAAAAGGAGTCGAACGATGACGGCAACTGGCGAGCTTCGACGGGGTTCTGGGATCCCGTCACCGACTGTACCGATTCGCCGATGATATTAATAAAAGCGATCGGAAGGTCCGGGTTGAGCATCCAGACCCGGTTGAGAAGCGCGAGGCGAGCCTCTTTGGTAGTGCCGCAGACCAACTCGCCGTTGTAGAAGATGCGCGGGTTGAGCTCCATCATGTTCGGATGCGGCCTATACACGGTGCTAATCTTGCACGTTGGGGGATTGCCAACGCGCCGAGCTACGTCCAGGACGGATTGCGAGAAAAGGGTGACTGCGAGCGGTGCCCTTTGTGTGCCGATGTAGGGTGGCAACTGGTTACTGTCACCGACGAGGGTATATGTGGCGTCCGGAAACCTTGAGAAGAGACCAATTAGGGTGGCTTCCGGAATCATCGAAGCCTCGTCCAGGAGGACAGTGCTCCATTTGCGGGAGGGGCGACGCCATAGCCCCTTTTTGGTCGTGAGATTTATGGCCGATGAGATGGTCATAGGAATATGTTCGGCTCATAAATCTCGAGAAACCTCGTCATGAGCGTTCTGATGCGCTCCGAATTGGCCTGTTCGAGGGGAAGGAGCGTCTTGTGCTCCGATGCCATGAGAGTGCGCTCCACGCCGCTGAAGATGGATTCGCGCAGACGTCGGCGGGGGTCTGCGGAAGCGCTGAAAGCGTTCTTTTCATAGTCGTCCATTTTCTCGGCGTGGGTTTGCGGCATATGTTCCATCAGACTGGCCAGGTCGTACAGGCCGGAGCGGATAGCATCCCGGGCCAGGGTCTCACTTACGTATCGTACTGGACGTACATCTGGTGTCTCCATTTGAGCAAGTTTTGCGCAAATAACGTCGGCCGTGTTTTGTACGGCCGCTATTAGGACAACCTTCCCGCGCTGTACGGCTTCGATGGCCATGAGTGCTGTACAAAGGGACTTTCCGGCTCCGTATGCGCTGTCGATGATGAGGACTGGGTAGGCCTTGTGGAACTTGTTCAAGGCATTCACCTGATTATTGTTGAGTTCCACTTTGTCACCGGCTACGGTGGCCGTGATGGACTTTCTCTGGTTCGTGGAACGCCCAGAGAGGTCGAAATCTCCAGCCAGGATCGCTCGAGCAGCGGACCATGCTCAAGACTGAGGTGTAAAAAGGCGAGACACGGACGTTCCCTCCAGCAGGGTGAGTTCTGGATTGGATCGGTCCTCCATACCGCCCCGAAGGTATGTGCCTGCCGAGATGCGGTTGTGCCACGCACGCGTAATATAAATGCGGAACCGCGGGGTGTCGCGCGGATGCACTACAACAGTGATCTGCTCATCCTCTTGCGTGATGCGCGTGATGCTGGCCCACCTTCCACGTACTGGCCTACGGTCCAACCCGTTTTTCCCTGAACGGGGACTTGGAACTGCGCTAGCGTGGGGTACGTGTTGATGTCCGGGATAGACCATAACGCGGTATGGAGTTTGGTGTCCGTCGTTTCCGCTATGCAGGCAGTTATAGTGCCGACGGTGGTGCCGTATAGGGACTCCAAGAAGGGCATGACCTCCGTTGGGCACGAGTGAAATAGCTGTAAGTTGGTCAGCTTACTGTAGAGGAAGTTTTGGTGGTACGCCGACGTGGGTCGTATGCCGAATGGTGCGGGCGGTGCGCTGGGAAAATACTGTACGTCTGCCAAGAATTCACGTAGGTGGTTGAACGCGATTGGTGTCGGTTCTCAGGCGAATAGCATATAGTCCAGCTGACGCGGGCGAAAAGGCGCCGTTATGAACGAATTCGGCTGTAGATTTGTGGTCTACGTCGGAATTCAGACGGTTTCTATTAACCGTCACCACGGTGCGGTGAACCTTCATGCATACCTGAAAGGTTTGGTACGCTTTTGACGCGATGGTAATTACGTAACCTAGCGTTTCCTTGAGGTCCCGATAGATAAGACCGAAACGATGAACGCGCCATATCGTCGGTTTACGATGGTGCACGCTTGCTCGATTGTTTCCGGGTATGGAACACCCTCCTTAAGGAATTTTTTGGATGGGGTCAAGGAGTAAACCCAGACGAAATCCCCGATCAGGAGATGGAAAATATCCGCGTGGCGTTTCTCCGTGAGAACGTTGACCGCAAATTGATCTAATGTGATCGTATGGAGATCAATACGTTCCGGTAATGGAACCTCCATGTGGACGGACTCCAAGCGGGCTCCTTGGCCAAAAAGCGATTTTGCACGGTACAGCACTGGAAGAATGCCCTCGTGGAGACGCAAGCCTTTAACATAGCGCAGCATTTCGGGCGGCAGAGCCGGATCAGCTTTTGGGCGCTCAGGAAATTCGGATCCCTCCAAGCGCATCTGGAACCAGGGTCAACCGTCGGTTCGAACTGTTCGAACGAAGTGGTCGCATTTTGGTCGGAAGGGGGTCGATTTCGAGGACTGCCAGCCACAGGCGCGTGCGTGGCGTATCCGAGGGCAAGAATTGTTTGTGCAGACTGCATTAGATTCGATTTTTTATGCACAGAGAGGCATTCCAGCTAAAGTTCCCAAAATAACGTACAATCAAAGAAAACATTGGGCATAAGCTATATTAATGTTTCTACTCGGACATGTGGCAAAATGTAAAGGATAATATGGGGAAAAGTCAAAATTAGTAACAGAGGCTAATTCGTGGCAAAATGATGTATTCAAAACTAACACTTACAAAACCAATAAGAAACTAAGTCACGGAGAAACAACATTCTAGTGTATTCCGTACTGTATGGTTTGTTAAGTTACTCGTGTAGAGGTTCGACGCCACCTACTTGCATAGCACGCACAGTGTTCCCATGTCTCCATCTAGTATATAATAATGATCCGGCCCATTTTACACGAATCGCAGGCCCCTGGTCATGACCCAAAATGAAGAGACACTAGTTAACCTACAAACCGATTTATCCTTATTACATTAATAGCACTGGAACGAGATCCGTAGAATAATAATACAATATTCAGCGAAAAGACAATACACAGTGATGAGTAGGGGAAATGTCCCGGATTATAACATTAGCAACGGGGATCAGATCGGTCGATCGACGAGGATCGACGGGGGCATGACGTGTCCCCAGGTCGGCCAGTAGGTGGAATGGGAAGTCGGAGTCGTTGATCAGGCAAGTCCTATTGTCCTCGGACATCGAGATCGAACCAAGAGCCTTAAATCGTTCCGACCACGCCTTTTATTCGGGTCCTACCGCTATCTCCGTTCCATCGCCTGAAAAAAAGCGAAGCCGAGGGAGAAGCCCGAACAAAAACAATCTTGAGTGCTGACAAGACACACCGTTTTCATGTGTCAGGCTTTGGCACGCTCCATCGCTCCCTGTCGATCTGAAACATTTGAAATTAGGAAATTGTGTATACAGACTAATGATTTCTTTATTTTTCCTGCCCATCCTTTACATCTCCCCTTTTACAAAAGTCCGACCTCGGACTTCATTTCTTTTGGAAGGAAGCTGTGCGCTCGCGGAAAGTTTCCAGGTACGTGAGTACGTGGTGTTCCCGGCACCAGCGATTTATGTCCCTCCACAGCAAACGGACCTCGAGATGTACAACCGAACCCAAGACGAACATACCGTCGCGAGCCCTGGAGAGAGCGACGTTAAGGCGCTGGGGATCCGCAAAGAAGGAGAGATTGCGCTTAGGGTTGATGTGGGTGCGCGTTGTGCACACGATGACGACAGATTTTTCTGAACCTTTCGCGCTGTCCACGGTTTTGACCGCGACCTTGGACCCTTTTAGTGCGGATTTAACTAGGTAAAGTTGATCGCGGTAGAGGCAGATGACCATGATGTCGTCCGCGGAGATGGAGGAGGCTAAAAGGAGTCGAACGATGGCGGCAACTGGCGAGCTTCGACGGGGTTCTGGGATCCCGTCACCGACTGTACCGATTCGCCGATGATATTAATAAAAGCGATCGGAAGGTCCGGGTTGAGCATCCAGACCCGGTTGAGAAGCGCGAGGCGGGCCTCTTTGGTAGTGCCGCAGACCAACTCGCCGTTGTAGAAGATGCGCGGGTTGAGCTCCATCATGTTCGGATGCGGCCTATACACGGTGCTGATCTTGCACGTTGGGGGATTGCCAACGCGCCTAGCTACGTCCAGGACGGATCGCGAGAAAAGGGTGACCGCGAGCGGTGCCCTTTGTGTGCCGATGTAGGGTGGCAACTGGTTACTGTCACCGACGAGGTTATATGTGGCGTCCGGAAACCTTGAGAAAAGACCAATTAGGGTGGCTTCCGGAATCATCGAAGCCTCGTCCAGGAGGACAGTGCTCCATTTGCGGGAGGGGCGACGCCATAGCCCATTTTTGGTCGTGAGATTTATGGCCGATGAGATGGTCATAGGAATATGTTCGGCTCATAAATCTTGAGAAACCTCGTCATGAGCGTTTTGATGCGCTCCGAATTGGCCTGTTCGAGGGAAAGGAGCGTCTTGTGCTCCGATGCCATGAGAGTGCGCTCCACGCCGCTGAAGATGGATTCGCGCAGACGTCGGCGGGGGTCTGCGGAAGCGCTGAAAGCGTTCTTTTCATAGTCGTCCATTTTCTCGGCGTGGATCTGCGGCATATGTTCCATCAGACTGGCCAGGTCATACAGGCCGGAGCGGATAGCATCCCGGGCCAGGGTCTCACTTACGTATCGTACTGGACGTACATCTGGTGTATCCATTTGAGCAAGTTTTGCGCAAATAACGTCCAGGGCCGTGTTTTGTACGGCCGCTATTAGGACAACCTTCCCGCGCTGTACGGCTTCGATGGCTATGAGTGCTGTACAAAGGGACTTTCCGGCTCCGTATGCGCTGTCGATGATGAGTGGTTGAACGCGATTGGTGTCGGTTCTCAGGCGAATAGCATATAGTCCAGCTGACGCGGGCGAAAAGGCGCCGTTATGAACGAATTCGGCTGTAGATTTGTGGTCTACGTCGGAATTCAGACGGTTTCTATTAACCGTCACCACGGTGCGGTGAACCTTCATGCATACCTGTAAGGTTTGGTACGCTTTTGACGCGATGGTAATTACGTAACCTAGCGTTTCCTTGAGGTCCCGATAGATAAGACCGAAACGATGAACGCGCCATATCGTCGGTTTACGATGGTGCACGCTTGCTCGATTGTTTCCGGGTATGGAACACCCTCCTTAAGGAATTTTTTGGATGGGGCTCAAGGAGTAAACCCAGACGAAATCTCCGATCAGGAGATGGAAAATATCCACGTGGCGTTTCTCCGTGAGAACGTTGACCGCGAATTGATCTAATGTGATCGTATGGAGATCAGTACGTTCCGGTAATGGAACCTCCATGTGGACGGACTCCAAGCGGGCTTCTTGGCCAAAAAGCGATTTTGCACGGTACAGCACTGGAAGAATGCCCTCATGGAGACGCAAGCCTTTAACATAGCGCAGCATTTCGGGCGGCAGAGCCGGATCAGCTTTTGGGCGCTCAGGAAATTCGGATCCCTCCAAACGCATCTGGAACCAGGATCAACCGTCGGTTCGAACTGTTCGAACGAAGGGGTCGCATTTTGGTCGGAAGGGGGTCGCAATTTCGAGGACTGCCAGCCACAGGCGCGTGCGTGGCGTATCCGAGGGCAAGAATTGTTTGTGCAGACTGCATTAAACTTGATTTTTTATGCACAGAGAGGCAGTTTTAGGCAAACCACAATGTTTTCTTGTGCGAAACGGAAACTAGACTACCTTGTTATCCAGACCCCTTATAAATTATACATTTATATTTACAAAAATCATCGAAATCAAAATTATTAAATTATTGAATAATAACAAAACTCTTTTATAAAGTCTATATTACTGTTTGTTTGTTAACTGCTATTTTGCCACAATTCGCTTTGCAAATGTTTTACAAGAATGCTAGGTTGTGAACAAAACTTTCGCCCTAGACAGGACTACCCCTGATTGGTCACACCTTTTTTCAAAACTGCTTATGTAGGTGTTTCACAAGAATGCTAGGGTTGTGCACAAAAATTTCGTTTCGTCTGGGTGGGGCATGCAACTTGCTAGGAGGAGCTAAAATGTGGCCGAGCCCAGATCAGTGTAGCGACCTACGAACGCCGGGGTGATCTGGGCGGGAATCGGAAAACTATATAAGGACGACGCGGGCTCGATCCGAAAGCACCGTCGACTTAACTGTTTTTTTACTTGCTCTCAGAGAAAGTCACTCAACCTCCTGCTGTTCGTTTTTACATCTGTCAAACATATAATATAAATTGTTGTTTCGAATCGTGAGCGTATTTCCTGCGTAGAAACGGTCGACACTTTCTTTAGAGTGGACGGTTCGGTACATGGGGGCCGAACCATTGGAGAGTATCGATTAGACAGCGGTAGTTTAATAACACACCAGGAAGTGTGAGATCAGAGAACGCAGGCTGAGCAGGTAGAGAGGCTGCACTGGTTTTGAGAGGTGGAGGCACGCAGAGAAGATTGGAAAGGCGCCCATAACCGCCAGCACTGATCACCGTGATCATAGGCAAGGCTCATGGAGAGAGCACAGACTGCAGAATGAAAAGCAAATCCGTCCTAGAGTGCTAAGGAGTGAGTTAGAGAGGTGTCGAGGACATCCGTCTCCATGCTACGGAACGTTGATTCGCTTGTGTTGGTATTGACTATCGCTCGATATCGCGTATCTGGCGACGATGCGACAGACATAGAGTGACGTGTTTAGAAAACAGTGTCGTAAAATGCGGTAGCCATGCCGCGACAAAGAACTGGATGGAGCCAACTTAGTACAGGCTAGCTTTTAGAGTATGAGTGAATGTTGGATAGTCTTGTAGAAGAAATAAACCAAGGGTCGTTGAGAATTGAGGAAGACTTGATGGGAGCCCGAATTGTGAAGTGCTCCATGATAGGGGGATAGAGTATGGACGAGTGGAATGAATACGCAAAGGTTACAGAATGTCACAGGGAACTTCTGGCAGAGATGTGTGAGATGTCTCGGACTGAGGTCGCACACATTCGAGGAATACACGAATGGACGAAGGAAACGGCTAGAGTCCAGACGGAACGAAGAAAAAATGGTAACTGATCACGCCAATGGCAAGTTCAGAACAGCTACAACTATCGGAAGGGATCACACATTACTAGGAAATGGTATGTCGGGCGGAGCATCGAGAAGAAGACATCGCAGGTCGGAGCGTTCTACGAGCGAGTCTCGATGCTGATTCGGAGATATCGGAAGAAACGACCGGAACGTCATGTCAGGACCTTTTGAATGTCATGGCATGACAAGCTGAAAGTTGTATAAGCCCAGGGGTTTTCAAGAGTACTCATGAGAATTTTGAGAAGTCGGATCCGACGGAATTGTAGTACTGATTTTCGATGACAAGACATTATTAGATATCATGGTAGGCGATCATCTAGAATATAGGGCCAGGACGGTGTTCCTGTCATTACACAGTTGTTTGAGAGCACGGGGTTTTGATGAGAAGTGATAGACTTGAGAGTTGTTGGCAAATGTTTCAACATCGCGCCAATTGAGGGCACATGTATGGGCTGAGAAGTCTTAAGCGAAGGCAGAGGCAATCTGTCTCGGACATCTGTGTGCTTTTCGAGAAAGTTGGGAGGCAAGCATCTGCTTGAAGTATAAGGGACAGGTCTCTCAAGTGCGCACAGATACTGCTGGACAATTTGAGAGATTGGTCAGATGATGTTCACTTGCTGAGTACGTTGCACCGGGTAGACCCCACAGAGGCGTATAATCCTGTCAAAATATGGCTTTAACTATAAGCAGTCAAGATATGTGTTGGCCCCTAATTGTAAATACTCACAAAAACGATTGGAAGAGAAGCTCGGCTGCCTACCATCAGAAAGAAGAGGAGCGGGAACCCGAGTCGAGGAGGTTCAGAGATGTAGAAAATGACGAGGCGAGTTAGGGAGTGGTTTCAGAGAATGGCATAGTTGGGGTGAGGTCAGACATCCCGTATCAAACAAATAGGTTAGGAATAGCGTCATGAATGATGTACCCGGAAGGTGAAAAGAAAAATATAGCGGTGGAATGGTAAGCAGAGGTGTTACAATAGTCAAATGGGCAGACAGGTAGAGACTGTGTCACGGACGTGACCATAGTTAGAGCATAGAGCATTGTGAAATTGTTTGTCTGTTTTTATAGTTGTTTTGAGTTATATGCTGTGTTTGTTGAGTAATAAAAGTGTTAACTCAGGTTAAAATCACGTATAGGATGGTTACCATATCATGGTGGCGATAAACCGAGAAGGAAGGAAAATCAAGTGAACCACCGGAGCAAGAAGAATTACTCGTTGAATCCGGGCTTGTGAAAAAGAAAAGCCGTCCGCTACCAGGAACATCTTATGGAACCGAGTGCACAGTGACTTGTGCAAAAACTGGATGGAACGATCAAAAGAAAGACGACTAATTTGGTGCCAGCTGCTGCGGTCTTGCCAGATGGTTGCCTATTTATGAATGAAGAGGAATGAGGAGCGTAATTGCTTCCTCATGCTAGACCAGAAACGTTTTGGCGTCAGTGTCACTGCAGTGCAGAAGGCTTACTAGTTTTACAAAAAGTTTTGTGGATGCGTTTTTCGATCTTTAATCTTCCAAGATGGGTAGTTACCTTGTCTCACCCCTCGACGGTGGCACCGGCTGGCCGACAGAGCAACTAAACCAGGAACCAATGAGGCACTTTGATATGTCCAGGCGAAAAAATGAGATGAACTAAATCAAAATAAACCGACTACAACGCTGCTAGTCCTCCGGACAGTTTTCGTGCCGTCAATGGAGCCTTCAGAGAGAACGCGGGCGTGGAGCGCAGACTGTATACCAGGTTCAGCGAGATACAAGGAATTCTGGAGGGATCAGTCGCCCGAATTTGCGTACTGGTATTCTCAACGACAGATGAGTCTATTGCCAATCGCGACCGGTGCAAGCTCGCTTCGTCACTGGTTGCAGCAGCTCGCACGGGCATGAAAGCGGTAGCTGTTGCTCTTCCTCAGGAAGAAAAATCGTACGTTCAGAACACATCTGATGCGATCGATGCTATCGAACTTGTTGAATCCGCAGCAGTACTCATGAAAACAAGAGTTGTGGTGACTCACCCGATTACTGAATGGTCAAAGGAGCCGTACTACTAGCGCTACATGCATCCGTTAAGGCAGAGTAGACCTTCCTACATTGGAAGCTGCTGTGGAGTGCCACAGAAAAGAAAACACTGAAGCAAGTCACTTAGGGGTTCCGAGAGGAAGGGTCCAGGCTCGTGAAAAAGAGAAGCCATCCGCCACCAGAAGCATATTATGGAATCGACTGCACAGTAATTTGTGCAGAAAGTGCATATGAAATGACTAAAAGAATGGCGACTAATTTGGTGTCAGCCTCCGCGGACGGCAGCTCCGGAGAGGGAAGGCATATAGGCCTTGCGCAGATCAGTGTAGCGACCTAAGAAGCACCGGGGTGATCTACGCAGCAATCGTAACACCATATGAGGGAGACGAGGACTCGTTTCGACAGCAACGCCTCGCCCGGAATCATCTTGCCTCTTCGGTTGAATTATTTTTTTATTTGCATACTCTCTAGGAGGTTCATTCAATCTCCTAGTTTTCGTTGTCACCAGCAGTGTCAGCCACAGGGTCAAGCGAGGCGTCGAGGAAAATTCAGAAATACGACCCCCCTCTCCCTCTGCCGAAGGCCGAAATCCATGAAACAACCCTCTTCCAAAGCCGAACTATGAAAAAGTTGTTTAATTCTCCACCAAAACTGCTCATAAAAAAGCCCTGCTACCCCATCGTCCACAAAAAAAACTTGTTTAAAAAGTATAAAAGTGAAAAAGTCAAAGAATGATCATTAATGACGAGTCCTGTCAAACGAGCAAACGAGAAACGGAGCAAAAAACGTCAAACTAGTCACTAGAAATGGCGTACTATGACAACACCTCTTCTTTGTTTATTTCCTCCACAAGACTTACCAAATTCTAGTACTACACAGGGTGTGGTTCTCAATTTACACGTCCCCCTTTCGCTCAAAGGAAGCCCTGTGAAAGCCTCCGCCAGCTGTGTGTTGACTGCACTTTGACGTTGACCGTGGAGCAGCTCATTTACTATTGAAATTTGAACAAATATTCAAATGATTATAACTTTCTTCAAAACTAACGAATTTTCAATCTGAAAGCTGATTTGGGAGTTCTGTGAAGAGCTTTTTCTAACCAGTAATGAAATTACAGGAAGTTATGAGAAATAACAAATTTAGATCATATAGCGAGGAAAATTCGAGACGAGCACGAGTCGGAGCAATAACTTGCTTCATTTCCGTCATATCCAAAAAGTTGATACGTCATACAAAACTAGAAGATTTTCTCTATTAAACGGTTGCTAAAGCAGCTTCATACGTCTAGTACTCAAAAAATGGCTACGCTGAGGATTTTTGCAAAATTAACGAGGAAAATTCGTGATGAGTGCGAGTTTTTACGCTTTCCAAAGCATAACTTCGTTCGAACTCATGCAATCTGGAAA